AGGGGCTCATCCAGAGGAAAATGTTTGTAAAATTTAGTGTTTGCTGTTGAAAGGGAATCATGTAAATTTGCATGCTATTACTTTGTACCGCCACATTTTTCATAATTAATAATACTTATTGTTCAGATGACTTGTCATTTTCCCATGGTGTTGGAGTTAAATTGAATCTCTAAACAAATGTGTTATTTCCCTCTCAGTATGCCACCATATATGCTTAGGCTACAAGTATCTTCCTCTAAAAAGTGCAATTCCGTGGGGACCCCAACAGTTCACAAGGCTCTTGTGGGGTTTGAAGGTCCGCAGTTGCAGGTGGTTGTAAAACCCACACAGCACAGATGATGGCAGGACAACCTGTTGCTTGTAGGTTTGACTGGAGTGGCTAGAGATTTTTGGTGAAGATACATGCGCAAAAAGAAGACAACAAGAGCCTGTCCCAGCAGGGCTCCCAGAGTGTGGTCAGTTGCCAGGCACAGCTGGAGGAAATGACGGCAATGGCGGTGGTGACGGGTGGTAATAGTAAGGTAGTAAGTATATTGGTGAAGGAGCAGGAGAATCTCATGAAATTCAGTTGTACATCAATTAGCCCTCACAGGAATAGAAGAATACTGACTTTCAGCTTTTCCTTCTTTGGATTTGAATGATCTTTTATTTCTGCTACTTTCTAAATGTCTATTCCATGCTCTTAAGGGTAAACAAGTGTTTTCAATGAACTTTAATTTCTGCCTCTCAATAATATGACGCGATCTCATAAGTGGCCAGGGCAGTGTGATTCAGACTCTGTTCTCAAATCCTAATTTCAGGGAGAGAAAATCTGCTTGGGCTGGGTCAGCTGCCCAATACTGGCCCAGTCAGCTGTGGCCAGTGGGCCAGGGTGAAGCTGGATTCCTGTAGGGAGGTGGCGAGGGCTCTCTGAGCATTGCAGAGGGGAGCCACAGAGGAAATGATGGAAATCTCTAACAAAAGATTTGGGTTTAAAGAGAAGTGATCATCTGTGAAGTAAGGATGGTGGAATTTGGTAAGTGGCAGGATCTGAGGAGCTCCACTTTGGCAGGTGCATAGAAAGTGAACTTCAAATTTGTTGAATGAATGAGCAGACATCTAGTCTGAAAAAGCAGTTTCCAGACTTGCTGACATCAGGTTCTATAGACATTGGGTTACTGTATTGAAGTTAAATTAGTACAAGTTCGACTCCACCATTTGAGTGACCTTTAGCAGGTCATTTTTCCTGGTTTCCTTATTTATACATGGGGATTAAAAATACCTGGCCTATTAAAGAGATAATACAGATTAAAGTGCTCTGAAAACTGCAAGGTGTTATACAAAGGTAAAGTTTTATTACTATTGTGTGAACACTAGATAGTGCATTATTCCTAATAGCTCTCTACTTGGACTTGTACCTGTGCGTGCACGCGTTCCTGGGGTGGGGGCAAGAGGTAGGAAAGGAAGGAAGGAAGGAAGGGTAAGAGGTGTCTCGCAAGAGAAGGAAGTGCTGTAACCTTCAGTGCGAGCCACTGGTACTCTCCCCTTCCTCTTCACATTTCTCCTGCCCCAAACAATGCAAAGAGCTTTTATATTTGGAACAAAAGAAGGAAAACCAACTTGGCTGCAATTAAAAAGAAAGAGGTACAATTTGAAGTTTGCCAGCTGTGGAGACTAAGAGATGGTTTGTGACAGGAAGGGGTACAGATGCATGTGCTTGTGAGTGTGAGTAGAGTGCTGGGATGTGGTGTGCTGGTGTGCGTGTGTGCATGCATGCGTGTCTGTGTGGGGCGGGTAGAGTGCTGTGGGACCGGCTGGGTGAGGCCGGCTCACCGGGTGGCCTGTGGCATGAGCCCCGGGTGGGAGGCACTGTCGCCCTTGCTTGTCCGTGGACGTCCACGGATGGCAGAGCCCACCTTCCCCAGCCCCGCCCTCCACTGAGGCTCCTCCTGGGGGTTGAGCTGGAGGGAGAGAGTTCTTAACAGAACTGAAGCTAATGGCACTGCTTGCTGGATTTATTTAACCTTATTTTCAGCAAAGATCAGTTGGAGTAGCCTGGGAAATTGACATTGGATGTCAAGTACTTACTGTTTCAACTTAGGCTCAAAATCATATCGTCATGTATATTGTCATCCCCAATTTACAGAGAAGGCAGTTGAGCTGCAGAGAATTTAAATGATCACCCAAGGTCTGTAGTAAGTAAGTATTGAGTCTGATATTCAAACCCTGGCTCTTTCTGCCACCATATCAGGGACCACTAAACCACCATCAAAGATTTAACATGGAAACACTCCCCAAGAAATGATTTATTTTGGCTTCAATGTCATATTCAACTGCTTTAGGTCAATAGCCTACTGGGGACACTTTCAGGGTCATCTCACCCACCCACAGTCTATTGTTGGAAAAATCCAGACAGATGAGCATCTTATTTTCTATAGGGATTTTATTCTGGGACAGGAGAGTCTGTTAACGCCGGTTCAGTGCTAGGAGGATGGAGAACACACGCTGGCATTCAGCTTACCCCTCAGCTGCGTAGTCAGAATAGGATCCTCAAGTGTAAGTTAGGAGGAAAGAAATCATGCATGTGAATCATTTCACACAATGCATAGGTCATAGCAAGCATCCCGTGAATGTTGGAGTCACTGTCGTTCTGATAGTGGCAAGTTTAGAGTGCCCGTGTGCAGCTGTGTGCCGAAGTGGCTTGTGTTTAGCAAGTGGTTACTGAGTTTTCAGGGGCTCCAGCATGGAGGTGGCACAGGAGCTGATGCATGCCCCAGACGGGGGTCATGACTTCTGGGTGAGGGTGGTGGCTGGACGATGGGAGGTGGAGGTTTTGTCCTCACCCTGCTGGCCCTTCCATTTGCACAGCCTCCCTGGCTCCCAAATAGACATGTTTTCTGAGATCCTCAGAGCCAGGGCCGGCTGTGTCACCATGGCAGCAAACCACTGCAGGCACCACAGTCCTTGTGCTGTGATCTGGCCTGAACCATCTCTTTTTTGAATCCAGGGGTTAATGCTGGGTCAGGCAACGTCACAGACATCAGTGCGCAGTACAGGGTCTTGTGCAAAGGAGGTGCTTGGTGATTATATTATTTAATCTTTATAATTTGATTGGATAGTTACCATTGTTATCTTCTTTATGTTAAGGAAACCGAGGCATCCTCGGCAATGCTTTCCCAGCCAGTAGACAGAGCTGGGCATCAAATTCAGGTCTGCCTGACTTCAGATCTGGACCTTTTAGTCTCATGATTGCACCTGTGCAAACCTCATGAAACTCCTGGGTCCCAGCTTCTTCATCTGTAAAGTGAGGTGCTATACTTGGTCATCCCCAGGTAATACGGAACTGTGCAGCTCACCGTGGGCTCTAATGTGAGGAGACGAGCCCTCGGACGGCATTTCCGACCCTTGCAGTTGGTGGGCCTTTGGGGCTATCCATACGGTAATGTAGCTGAAAGGCCGTGGTACCCGGCCGGCCTCCACACACATCAGTATTCCTTTCCTTTCCCTTGGCTCTAACTTCCTTGACTTTATGATGCCAAAGAAACTCAGAAGGTCAGGGTTCCCAAAATCTGGGCTGCAGGCTTTGCTGATTCCTGACATTACATTGGTGGTTGTTGAGAAAATAGGACAAGGAAGTGAACTTTTCAAAAAGATGAATTGATTCCATTTTAATAGCCTAACAGGCACTATGAAATGACAGTGATAATGGATGGTGACTTCTGTGGAGTTTTTCCAGATGATATACACAGTTTATAAATTCAGGTCCCTTGGCCCCAATTTTTCCTGCTTTTCACTGGCTCATAAAATCAATTGTCTGGGAATAACAGCAGCTGAGCAGGGCTTTTAAAACTATCAGTGGTAAAGTGAAAGTGAAGGAATTCTTTTTTTTTTTTTATTTCCAGTATGTCACAGACCAAAACATGTAAATTTTATATAAAATAAATTATGAGAAAAATAAATTAAAACCAGATATATACAAATGCAAGCTCCATATTTTAATAGTAATTATGTGTAATTAGTATTAAAAGAATTTACTCTCTCATGTTGCAGTGACAGCTTCTAAAGACTTAACCTCTATTTTAGTACTTATTTCCTTGAGGACTGGCAGAAACAGGTTTACCCATCACACTTGGAATGACACAGAGGGGAGAACACTGCCCTACACTGGGGGAGGGTTCTGCCTAGTGATAGAGCAGAGTTCTTAACCTGGCATCTGTTCATATAATTCGGAGAGCAAGCACACTTGGAAGAAGAAAATATTTATGTCTCTTCCATTACTAAAATCTAACTGGAATTTAGTATGCCTGTTAACTATAAAGTTAGGCCACAAACCACAATAGTGTTAGTGGTACCTTAGAATTTGTTTCCAAGAGAGACTACATTATTTTTCTATCAGACTTTGAAGATAATCTTGAGCTAGTGTTACACTTAGCATTATTTTGAAACTGCAATAGCTATTAGACCTGTTGCTAAGTTGGTTAGTCACTATATCATTAAAGAAGCACATGTGTTACTATATAGCAATTTAAAAATATTCTAGTTAATTCAATGGAATTGATTTCCTTTGTATCCTTACATAGTTTATGTCATGAATTTAAAAACGTTAATTCTAAGAGAGGCCCATAGGAGGCGCCAGACTGTCAAAGGGTCTCTAGCTCAGAAAAGTTTGGGATAACTATTTTAGAGACAGCAAAGAATAAAACTATTTCAGAAACATTTTCTAAACGATCTCTTGCAAACTCAAATCAGCAGATTGTGCTACTAAATGTCAACAGGCTCCTGACTGATTGGAGGTTACTGGGAGAGGGGGCTGTTCTGGGACACTGGGTGGGTTCTTTGCTCCTCATGGTCTCCACAGCCAGCCAGTCCCGCCCTTCCACCAGCCCGTGGAGCTGCGCTGCTGAGTAAACAGTCGGTGCCTGGACGGGCTTGCGGGGTCAAGGTGGCCGCTTCTTGCTTAAGTTCTTCGCAATGTTCTCCTCAGAGGAAGACCATGATTACTAATTAACTAGCAAATGCGAGCCTGGGAATGCAGCTGGGCAGTCTCTGCACGTGGAATCCATGAGCAGTAACCACCCACCCGGGCTGGGGTGGCTTTCTGCAGACTGTGCTCCACGTTAGTTATTACCAGGCCACCCTTCAGAGAGCACCGCGCGGCGGGAGGTGGTGAGGTATGCTTATAATCTGTGTTCATTTATGGCTCCAGATGTGCTGTGTGGCCCTGTGCTGATCTGATCCCCTTTCTTCAAAACGTCCTTGTCAATATCTTAAACACGGGCAGAAATATTACACACAAATTTACACACATCTCCTCACCAAGCAAAATTCAAGGCATTTATCTTTTTCTTTGGGTTCTGTGCGTGTGTATGTGTGGTCCTCTGACCATCTACAAGCCTAAACCTGTGTTGTGTGTGTCTCTGTGTGTGGTGAGATGAATGATTGAATATTTGGGGTGATGCACCTGGTAGAAATTCTTTCCGATTCGGGAGATGATTTGGGGGAAGTGAGGGAAAGGGATTATAATTTGGGAGTTAGCTGAGAGTGTTTTGGGACCTTCCTTCTAAAAGGACACAGAGTTGGAACTGAGGAGGCAGTATTTAGAGACTCCATGGCAGGCAGGAAGCTGAGAAATCTATTACTGTCCCTGTGAGTCTGGGACCTTACTGATCAAATGAAGAATTAAAGGGAAGAGCCTAATGGTGCGAGTGAAGTGCTGGGATGTGTGCGTGCACTGGTGGGCGGTGTGAGAGATGCAGGTGGAGTCTGGAAGGAAGCTGCTAAGAGAAATAGAGTGGGAGTGCCCTGGGGGAAGAGGGGGAGATGATGGGTTGTGGCTGGCCCGTCCTTGGGAAAACTTAAAATAAAAACGTGTTGGGTGCATGTGCCAGCAGGGCCTCCTGATCTCCAAACGGTTGCTCTGGTGTCTGCAGAATAGGGAGAGTTTGTGTGGTGGGCAGGGAGGAGGGAGGAGGTCTTCGGTTTGCAGTGCTGGGCAGGGCCCAAGTGCTCTGAGGGACCAGATGAAGTGGAGGGACGCTCTATTCTGTCCCCCCGTTGCAAGTGCATCACTTCACTCACGTGTACCCATGATGCCGGTGATTGTTTATTATTGGGCATTTTCTCACAAATGGGGTTCAATGAGCTAGTAAAGTTACTTTACAAACTAGAAGCATGGAATATTAATGAGTAGAGGGGGTTAGTTTTCCATTTAAGATTGGATCACGAGGTAGTAGCTGCAGAATGTGATGAGAAAGATAAGCCTACACCTGGGGCTGGGGTCACAGGAGGACATAGCTGTCTTCTGAGGATTATCCCTTTGTGGTTCAGATGGGGAAACTGAGGCCTGTTGGGGTTAAGCAGTTTCTCCAAGCTCACACATCTAAGCAGGATTAGAGCTGGCTTTTAAATCTCTCCACTTCGGATGTAACCAGACCTGCAAGAGAAAAAGATGACAGAAGGCCTTCAGCTACTTTTTTCCTTCCCGTTCTATAAGAAGCTGGGAGACAATGGGCCAAGCCTTATTTCACCCCTAAAGGTAAATTTTGCCCAGGATTTTTGAGGAATAGCCACTCCTTGCTGATGTCCTCTTTGCAAATTACGCTCACTTTCTGAAAACTAACCCTCTTCCGCCCTAGATTGCCTTTTGTTATCAAAAGATTTTTAAGAGAAAGGCTTAGATTGCCATACACAAACCAGACTCTGGATAAAAGTCAGAAAAAACACGTTGATTATTCAGTTTTCCCAAATTAATCAGATAGCCATTGCAGTAATTTGGGGCACCACCTGGTTTTTCTCCATCTACTTTGCCTAAAATAACTATAACAGTTACCAGGAAAATGAGTATTGGCAATAATTCATATAAATATTTTAATCCAAGAGGAGAATTACTGTTGGAACCTGCATGTTTTATGTACAGTAATAATTTACACCTTCTCAGGAGACTTTCCCTGACCAGCCTGATTAAAAGTGCAGCCATCACCCCCACATTCTTTCTCTCCATCCCCACTTTATTTCTCTCTATAGTACCTATCACAGTGTAACCTGTCATATATTTATTTTGTTGATTATCTCTTTTTACCACCCATAAGAACATGGTCCCATGAGAGCAAGAATTTTTATCTGTTTTGTTGTTGTATAACCAGCTCCTGACAATGCTTCACACATTGTGGAGCTTCATAAATAATTGATGAGTGAATAAATAAACTGCAGTCCAATCTCCCATTGCCCCAAAGACAGCATTGATACTCACTGATGAATAAACCCGGGCAATGTGGTGCATTAGCTGCTCATTCTCCTCGGTCTCACAGAATCTGAATCAGTGCTGTAGGCGATCAACTTGAGTGGAGCCTGCTCTAGATGCCTCCACAAGCATTCACATCCCCCAGGTGCCATGGAGACTGAAATGTGGCAGAATTTTAGTTCCTTCTCTTTCCATAAACCTTCTAACTCCACAGCTGTCTTTGGAAGGACCCAGGCATCTCTCATATCCCACCTCCTCTTAATTTGGAAACTTGATTATTCATGAATATGTAAGTTTTCTGCATTTGCATCACACCTGTGGAAGCTGACTTTAGACTCAGATTGCTTGGTTTGGGGTCTGGCTGTGAGGTCTGGACCTTGAGCAACCTAGCCTCTATCAGGCTCAGTTAACAATTTGCAAAATGGGGATAATGGTCCTGCTTGTAAAGTGTTGTGAGGACTAAATGAAATAAGTCCTAACCTAGTACTATACACATTCTAGGTATTTGGTTGATGACCCAGACACTATTTGATAAAACCGCAATCTCACAAAAAGCCTAAGCTGGTGTACAATATGGGGTATTATAGCACAGAATAGAAAGTAGTTGTTGAAAGTTTGGCTGTGGAGTCCAAAGGGCAGGTGTTCAAACTGTGGCTTTGCTCCTTGTCAGCTGTGTGTCATCAGGCAGGTTATTTGACCTTGGTGAAGCCTAATATCCACATCTGAAAGTGGAGCTGGTAGCACCAACTAACTTGGGATAGTTATGAGGATTGCATGCAACAAATTATGTAACTTCTTAGCATATTCAGTCATTGTTAGCTGTTAGCATCTTCATTAAAACTGCAGTTTATGTCTGTCATGTTAAATAGAATATTCAAAGATTGATGACAGACTCCAAGTAGCAGTTTTTTAAGAACATTTCTTTTAAAGAAAGCTATTTAAATTACTTCCTTATTCGATTTTCTTTTTGCCATTTTTCTTGATCTTAATTTTTCCTGAATTGTATTCCTGAGAGTGTAGGTTCACCATCATGATCTCTGCAATTCAGGAAGATCAATCAGGATACTGATGAGTGTTTTATTTTTTCGTAAGGCTTAAGGAAACACTTTTCTTCTATAGCTAGGAAATAATTATTATTGTTCCATAGAGCAGGTAACCATATTTGAATGCATGACACAAAGGACTTCTGATAAGAGGCCAACAGATTTTTTAAAAATGCAAATGATATATTATTCAAAAGCCATATTTACCTTGAAGTACTAATCATCTATTGCTGAGTAACAAATTACCCCAATATTTAACAGTGTGAAACAATAAACATTTATTATCTCACAGTTTCTGTGCATTAGGGATATGGGAGCAGCTTAGATGGGTGGTTCTGGCTCAAGACCTCTCATGCGGTTGCAGCCACGACGTTGCCAAGGGCTGCAGGCAGGTGAGATGCCTCACTCACTGGGCTGCTGGCTAAAAGCCTCAGTGTCTGGCTGGTTGCTGGAAATTTCCATAGGCTTGCTTGAATGTTATTGTGACATGGCATCTAGCTTCTCCAAGAAATGACCCAAGAAAAAGAGCAAGGAAGTGATCCCAAAGAAAGAGGAAGGAAAAAACTGTAAGGCCTTTTATAACCTCGTCTTGGGCGCCCCCCGCCTTCCTCTTCCCCGCGCTCTGTTAGAAGTGAGCTACTTAGTCCTGGCCGCTCCCAGGGACCGGGAGATGGGGGCTTGGCTCCGCCTCTTGAAGGGAGGAGTGTCAAAGGATTTGTGGCCTTTAGAAAAAAATCTCTGTATCATAATCTCGAACAACATGGAAATTTATTTATTGCACATTTTACTGTCTTCTCTATGGATATTTACACTATTCTCAGTCTTTTGCTGTTATATGTGTTATATGTCATGTTATAATGGAAAACCTTTGGATATACATTGCTTCCCACATGTACAAGTACATTTATGAACTAAATTTCTATAAGTGGAATTCCAAATTATGGGTGTAAGTAATTTTAACAGCCTTTGCCAAATCTTCACTAAGCATATGGCATTTATTGACTAGCAATGGGTATGTGCCTTTTTCTTCATAGTGTCTAACACGGTATGTTAATAAGCCTTTGGAAAAATTTAAATAAACAATCTCCTATGTCACAACTATTAGCAACCACCAAAGAGAAGGAGACATGGTCACTTCCATAGGTATTCTGATAACCCCTCTCCTTGTCAGTGAAGATGAGAGATCATTCTACGTCATTAGTTAGTTTAGTTGTATCAGGCACGGAAGGTTACGGAATTTTACATGCATTAATTTTCTTATCTATAAAAATGGAACTAAAAATGTCAGCTGTTATCATTACCTATTGTCATCTGCATATTGTGAGAATCAAATAAAAAAAAATAAAAGATATTATGGGATATCTTATAAAACCTTGAGGAATGTGAGGTATTGGGTACAGGGTGGGTAAGAAAGATTAGAGCTGGGTAATTTATTTTATAAAATACAAGGCAGTCTTTGTAGGGAAAGGTACAGCCCCGTTTCCTTTTGCAGAGTAAGAGGGCATTACCTTGACAAACAGCGATTCTCCTTAGTGTGGGAGAAGCAGACCGGCTTGTCATTTAACCCTGGGGCAGAGGCCGAGGCAGGCTGCCTCTGTCTGAGGCGATGTGGGGTTTGTGTGAGGTCTCCTTGCTTGGGTGGAGAATGAAGCTGTAAGGAAATCTCAAACAGTAAGGTTGAGTTGAGGACTCAAGTTTCCCTTGAACTAAAGCCTGAGGGAAGAGGGGAGAAGTGCTTTTTGAGCAGACAAGGCAGCTGGGAGAGGAGCAGTAAATGGTTGGCAGAGAAAAGGGGGCCTTGAATGGTACAACTCCTGCCCATGCTCCCCTTGTTTCTTCCTAGCTTTCTGCACCTGTGCCTCAGGCAACGTGTGCATCACCTAAAGCG